TTTTTGATTTTTCTATTCTTCAGTTTTGCTATTTGTCAGTTTTTTTACTTTTCGATTTTTTTATTTCACGTTTCGCTTTTCGATTCTCGAATTTGAAGTTTTGTAGTTTTCGATTTCTCCATTTTTGATTTTTTTTATTTTCAATTTTTCAATTTTTACATTCTTGAATTTTTAGACTTCCCAATTTTTTTACTTTTCGATGTCCCAGTTGTTAAATTCCATTCTTCAGTTTTTTGAGTTTTTCACTTTTCGGTTTTTCCATTTTGAATTGGTAGAATTCCGAATTTTAGTTTTTGCAATTTCGGGGATGCTCGTTTTTTCGGATATTTGATTCATGGAATTTTTGAATTTTTCAATATTCGAATTTTCAATTTGTTTTCTTTTCGATTTATCGATTTTTCAATTTTTCAATTCTTTGATTTTTCAAATTTACGATTTTTCGAATTTTCGAGTGTTGTTTCTTGAATTTTCCATTTTTCAATTTTTCCGTCCTTCAGTTTTTAGACTTCGATTTTTTTATTTATCGAATTTTCGTTATCCGGCTTTTCAGTTTCTTTACTATTCGATTTTTCCATTCTTCAGTTTTGCTATTTTTCAGTTATTTTACTTTTCAATTTTTTGATTGCTCGTTTCGCTTTTCAATTTTCCACTTTTCAATTTTTCTAGTTTTCGATTTTTCCATTTTTGATTTTTCTAATTTTCAATTTTTCAGTTTTTTCATTCTCCAGTTTTTAGACTTTTCGATTTTTTACTTTTCTATGTGACAGTTTTTAAATTGCATTCTTCAGTTTTTCGATTTTTTGATTCTTCGGTTTTTCCACTCTGGAATGTTTGATTTTCAAATTTTAGGATTTCCGATTTCACGGATCTTCGTTTTTTCAAATATTTGATTCATTGAATTTTTGAATTGTTCGGTGGTCAAATTTTCAATTCGTTTCCTTTTAGATTTTTCGATTTTTCAGTTTTTCAATTCTTTGATTTTTCAAATTTTCGATTTTTCGAATTCTCGATTTTTTATTTTCGTATTTTCGATATTCGAATTTGCAGTTTCTTTACTATTCGATTTTTCCATTCTTCAGTTTTGCTACTTTTCAGTTATTTTACTTTTCGATTTTTTGATTGCTCGCTTCGCTTTTCGATTTTTCACTTTTCAATTTTTTCATTCTCCAGTTTTTAGACTTTTCAATTTTTTACTTTTCTATGTCACAGTTTTTAAATTGCATTCTTCAGTTTTTCGATTTTTTGATTCATCGGTTTTTCCATTCTGGAATGTTCGATTTTCAAATTTTAGGTTTTCCGATTTCGCGGATCTTCGTTTTTTCGAATATTTGATTCATTGGATTTTTGAATTTTTCGATGGTTGAATTTTCAATTTGTTTTCTTTTCGATTTCTCGATTTTCAATTTTTCAATTCTTTGATTTTTCGGATTTTCGATTTTTCGAATTCTCGATTTTTATTTTTTGAATTTGCCATTTTTCAGTTCTTCCATTCTTCAGTTTTTAGACTTTTAGATTTTTTTACTTTTCGATCTTGCGATATTCAAATTTTCAGTTTCTTTACTTTTAGATTTTTCTATTCTTCAGTTTTGCTATTTGTCAATTTTTTTACTTTTCGCTTTTTTGATTCCTCGTTGCGTTTTTTCAATTCTCCAATTTTTAAGTCTTTCTACTTTTCGATTTCTCCATTTTTGATTTTTCCAATTTTCGATTTTTCAATTTTTACATTCTTGAACTTTTAGATTTTTCAATTTATTTAATTTTCGATGTCTCAGGGATCTTCATTTTTTTTAGATATTTGATGCATCGAATTTTCAGTTTCTTTCCTTTTCGATTTCACGATTTTTTAATTTTTCAATTTTCCAGTTTTTAGACTTTTCGATCTTTTTACTTTTCGATTTTCAATTTTTCCATTTTTCAGTTTTTCTATTTTTTTTAGATATTTTACTATTCGATTTTTTGATTCCTCGTTTCGTTTTTTGATTCTGCAATTTTCAATCTTCCTATTTTTCGGTTTCTCGATTTTCAATTTTTTAGAGTTTCCGGTTTTTCAATTTTTCCATTCTTCAGTTTTTATACTTTTTGATTTTTCGATATTCAAATTTTCAGTTTCTTATTTTCGATTTTTGCATTCTTCGGCTTTTCTATTTTTTAGGTATTTTACTATTCGATTTTTTGATTCCTCGTTTCGCTTTTCGATTCTCCAATTTTCAATCTTCCTAGTTTTCGATTTCTCCATTTTCAAATTTTTGGAGTTTTCGCTTTTTCAATTTTTCCATTCTTCTCATTTTTGTACTTTTCCATTTTTTACATTTTGATCTTCAGATATCCGAATTTTCAGTTTCTTTACTTTTTGATTTTTCTATTCTTCAGTTTCGCTTTTTGTCAGTTTTTTTACTTTTCGATTTTTTGATTCCTCGTTCCGTTTTTCGATTCTCCAATTTTGAAGCTTTCTAGTTTTCGATTTCTCCATTTTTGATTTTTCCAATTTTCGATTTTTCAATTTTTACATTCTTCAATTTTTGGACTTTTCAATTTTTTAAATTTTCGATGTCTCAGTTTTTAAATTCCTTTCTTCAGTTTTTCGATTTTTTGTTTTTTCTGTTTTTCCATTCTGATTTGTTAGATTATCGAATTTTAGGTTTTCCGATTTCGTGGATCTTCGTTTTTTCAAATATTTGATTCATCGAGTTTTGATTCTCGATTTTTCGATTTTTTCATTTTCGATGTTTTGACTTTCCGGAAGATTTTCTTTGATATTCACATTTTCGATTTTTCGATTATCTGTTTTTCCAATTTTCGAATTTCGATTTTTCGAAGTTATTATTTACACCACGGGTTTTTACTTAGAAGTAACAAACAAAGATCGCAAATTCAAATTTTATAATAAGTATTTCTAAGAAGCGGGATTTATTGGTATGTACTTTAAGTGCAAGGGAAGGAAGTTCTGTCGAAATAATTTTCGACCAGTTTTTTGAATGGTAATTCTTTCATATTTTTCGACAAAATTATGTTTTATTTTAATCCCAGACAATTTGGCTTCAAAAAGAACTTGAGCACATCACCTGCAATATTAAGCTTAATAATAGACATTTTACAAAATCTATAAAAAAAAACGTTACATAAGCACTTTCTGTGATATTTGACAAGTTTGTGACTGTATGTCTGACAACGTACTCATAAAAATTATGTGTGGACAGTTTCTCAATTCACATCTGATTTTCCTAAAATATTTCAATATTCTTATCTAGAAAGATTTCAAAATTTTCTAGAAAAATTTAATATTTTGAAATGTATAATCAGCACGGGTTCCGCAACGAAAAATCAAGAAAACCAATCATTGGCCAATTTTTTAAAGTAACTGTTTTTTATTTAAAAAACGATGAATGTCCTGCAGCAGTTTTTTCAAACTTCGACAGTGTCAGTAACGAACATCTTTTGTACAAATTAAACAAGTATGGAATTAAGAGAAAACCTTTAAATTGGTTGACTGATTACCTAGTAAACACAACAACAACAAAAAACTCTACCCTCACCCCACTTTATAGACTTAGGTGTACCTCAGGTTTCGATATTGGGTCCTATTTTATTCATTTTGTTACAAGTTAAACCCAGAAACGCGCAAACGTGGCATGTTCGAAAACAACGACTTTGAAGCAGATTTTCGAAGTTCTGGAAGGAAAGCGTAGTTGTTTCAAAAGGGAAAATTGCCGCAAATGAATCAATTCAGGTCGAAACAAGTCCTGAGTACCAGCACGTTTCGTATTATTAATAAATATTTCGTTTTATATTCGTAAATCTTAACATGAAAAAGTAAACGAGGATGTCGAAAGTCAGTTAAGAATGAGTTAGAAAAATCAATCAGTTCGAAGTAGCGGCGACGGCAAATTTTTGGGAAGAAGAGTAAATAGTCTTGTACTAGTAATATATTTTTCCCGTTGATTATCTGCTTTAAATAAATGCAGGATTTCTATAAATGCTTGTTGGGTCTAAGTAGGTCATGAAAGTGTGCCGCCTATCACTTTGTGTATTTTACTAAAACGCACGACAAATACCACACGCATCTGTATAACTGGGTGCCTAAATGTTTCATGTATTATGTTATTTAAAAGTATTTTCTTGTTTTCAAAAATGTTCTGTAGCATCCTTTCGTCATGTTTTGGACCCATTTCTGTACACAAGTACCAAAAGTCTTGAAAACGACTGTTTTGTTTTTTTGAGCTTGGATCAACGAGAATTACTGAAATTCACACTTGAAGAACGTTAGAACAGTAACAGCGATGACTTTAAATGACAGGTTACAAATGACATTAATGACAAGTGAGAACTGTCATAATGAGCCATAAAATTTCAACGAAGCGGTTATCTCATTATTAGAATAATTCCTGTAATTGGTCAAAACCTGCCTTCTTCTCCACCACTGTTCTTTGTAATCTTAATACCTCGCAACAGTTTTATGGGATTTTGGTTAAGACACTTAGTGCTGCAGTCACTGCCAATTTTAGTTTACACAATATTGGCAATGTACCTTAATTAGTAGAATGTACAATTTCTAACTTATGCTCAAGTTTTAGTTGTCGTTGAATTTAGTTACTCTATCTATTGTATTAATTTAATAAATCCCCTCACTTCCTCAAACACTCCATTACACAAGCAATAATTTTATCTAATTATTACAAAAAAACAAAGTGTTATAACAGTCCCCACAATAAAAAATTGATAATGGGAATTTCTGTCAGTTATTATTAAATTCTGATTGCTTTTTAATGGCTCGTTTTCCTAAATGTATTGTATCAACAATGATTTAAATCTAATCGATGCACCTCGCATGCATAATATTTCAACGCTTTAAGCATAAAGTTGTTATGCCTCGGACGCTATATACTGGAGGTCATACAACGTGACAGTAAAGTCTGAAACTATCGATTTCATTGAGACGGCCAGGCATCGGCCGTCTTTAAAGCCTCGAGGGATACAGGGAATTGATATTGATAACACCGCTGTGAAAACTTCACACATATTTGGCGCGCGAATATTTTGCATCGTGCGTCCTTTATTGCATCACAAAATTCAGTGTATCGCATTTAGAATTAGTTTATCCTTGATCGAATTACTTCTTCGTCCCTTTCATCGCTTTCAGTTCGGTGTCCGACAATTTGAACTCCATCTTGTTGTCGCGGTAAGCTAACGGGTTTTCCGACTCCCTCTCCTCCAAATCCGCTTTTAGCTCTTCAGCGCTAACTTCGTCAATCCGTTTGCCCTGGCCATAGAAAATGTCCTCGGTGTATACGCGGTCCTTCCGCCGATAAGTCCCGTGAAGCTGGAAAATTCTTTCAATACACTCGACTCGCCAAAGAGTCACGCACAAAACTGACCTTATCCCAGTAACCGATGTTGAAACCGAAGTTCACGTGAAAGTATTGATGGTGATTGTCGTGAAAAATGGCGTCAGGTTGCCACGGCTGCCACCAATATGCTTTAAAATTCACCCCGGAATGATCGATGATGCCGTGGTAATACGTATACAGGGCCACCGCGTAGAAAGGAACTAAAATATAATTAAGGAGGAAACAGTTGGTCGAGCTTTCGGTACAATTCATCTTACACCAGTGAGTAGGAATTGTGAACAAAGGCAAAATATCCATCAGCTGAATATGGAGGGCTTCCACGGGGTGGATGGCCGTGACGGAAAACGCCGTGGGCTGTTTGTACTTGTGATGGAGCTTGTGAAAGTTGCGGTAAAGAAAAGGTATGTGGTAAATTCTGTGCATCCAATAGGTCATGTAGTCCTGAAAGAAACATTTTCTTAGATAATTGGTTTTATCAAAACGGTATTGACAAGATAGTTACTCTATGATATTAACATTGTAGATGTAATTACAAAGAATGCGTTCTAACAACTAAAATTTTATTTTAAAGACCGTAACTCATTTTAGCATCTGGACGTAATTGGACAGCTTTTACAAACGCGGAGAGAGTAATTCATCATCAGATTCTCTTCGCTGTCGTAGTGATAATTGTCCCCCATTCTTAACAGGTCATTAGACAGAAGAAGATTGACTAGAATTTTATAGACGACAGCGACAACAAAAAGTTTCTAAAACTCATTGCTAATTTGACATTTGTTTTTCCTGACCAGTGGATAAATGTTTCTTTGATAGATGGTAGAAAGGCAGGTAAATTTTACCACCGAGTTTGAGATTCAGAATTTGGAAAAAATTTAACCAGTTTATTTTGGTTTGGATAATACGTTCATCAAATGTCACATTTCAAAAAATTTTAACGTTTTGCCTGCCGATTAACACTTTACAAGAACTACACACATTTGGTTGAACCTGCAAAAATTTTACTTCTTCCAGTTCACACTAAACTGGGAATTGTGATACTGTACGTGACAGTTTTATATCAAACTAAACCTGCAAATTGTAGCAAAAAATTGTTTAGGTATTAATAAATATTATATAATAAGTGAATTAAACATACGTTAAAACACTTTTTCAACAATTCCCAGAAAAATTGCACAATTTCTAGGTCTCCAAAATCTAGAAGAATACACGTCTCATAGTTTAGACGTTCGAGTGCAACTGTAGTAGCACACTCTGGGGCAAATTTGGAAGTTGTAAAGAAACACGGTGGGTGGCGTTCGAATAGTGTTGTGGAAAAATACGAGTACATAGAGGATCCTTTGAATAATAAAATCGAAATTTCAAGAAGAATCATTGAGCTATCATCAACAATCAGTAATAATAGATCTGTCTTAAATCCGACAGCAGGCTCCTCTGCGTCAATTTCCGTGTTAAAACAAGAAACTAATCATCAAGATATTATTTTGCCCATTCATCGGTAATTTAATATAAATTTTAGTTATATTATTGTAACTTTTATATTCCACAGTATAAAGACAAAAACTAATTAAATGTTAATATTTTTGTAGCAGAAATAAAAATCTGTGCTTCACTGAAATTTTTTAAATCACTGATCAGTGAATCATGAACTCTTTATGAAAGTTACTATGGAATTAAATGAGATACCTTCCAAGAAAAGAGAGGGTGGGTGGGCGGGGTTACTGCCTGGTAAAATAAGATCGAATTTGGCAAATGAGAAACCTTCTAACAAAAGAGAGAGTGGGTGGGTGGGGCTAGTAGTTGATAAGATAAAACTGATATTGGCAAATCACCTCCTCTAAAAAAAATTAAGGGTAGAGAGCAAATCATTTCGCAAAATCAATCTATTTTGATAAGTACTGGCCACCCACCCTTTATTTTCTTCAAGGGTATGCTATTCGGCAATATCAGTTTTATCTTAGCAAGTACGAGCCCCGCCCGCCCTCCTTTTTTTTTAGAAGGTTTATCATTTGCCAAAATGGATTTTATTTTAGCAGGTACTAGCCCCGCCCACCCGCCCTCTCTTTCCTTAAAGGATATGTCATTTGCCAAAATCAGTCTTATCTTGCCAAGCGCTAGCCCCGCCCATCCCCCTTTTATTTTCTTAGAGGACTAGTGTACCTGCTAAGATAAGACTGATTTTGGCAAATGAGATACCTTCTAAGAACAGAAAGGGAGGGTGGGCGAGGTTTTACTACCTTGTAAAATATGATCGATTTTGGCAAATGACAAACCTTCTAACAAAAGAGAGAGTGGGTGGGTGGAGCTAGTAGTTGCTAAAATAAGACTGATTGGCAAATCACCTACTCTAAAAAAATGGAGGGTACAGGACATATAATTGAGCAAAATCAATCTATCTTGCTAAGTATTGGCCCCGCCCACCAACCCTTTATTTTCTTCAAGGGTTTGCTATTGGGCAATATCAGTTTTATCTTAGCAAATACTAGCCCCGCCTACCCACCCTCTTTTTTTTAGAGGGTTTGTCATTTGCCAAAATCGATCTTATTTTAGCAGGTACTAGTCCCGCCCACCTGCCCTCTCTTTTCTTGGAGAATTTGTCATTTACCAAAATCAGTCTTATCATGCCAAGCACTAGTCAATTTAAACTGTCAAAATGGAATAAAAATTATAATTTGCATTAAAGACTTTTCTTCTACTTCTACAAGCAATAGCCCCGCCCCCTCCCCCATTTCATTACAGATAGTACTCTTAATATAGTTCAGTCTTATCATCGCAAGTACCTACTAGCCCCGCCCATCCGCCCCCTATTTTCTTAGAGAGTATATTACTTGCCAAAATCAGTCTTGTCTTAAGAAGTACTAGCCCCACCCACCTTCCCTCTTCTCATTTGGGTGGGAATAATAAACATAAAATTCATTGGCCCATAATTTTTCACGTAAATTTAACAGCAAATCGATATTTAGATCATCTTAGAACGGTAGTGCTTCCGCATCTAATTGCTACGTTTCCTGACCCAGATAATCCACAAGATTTTTTTAGATCCCAAAATTTGGTTTCAACAGGATGGGGCACCAACACATTATAGCGTAATTGTAAGGGTTTTTTTGGATAATCAATTTGGTGGAAGGTGGACTGGAAGGCGTGGACTAATAGAATGGCCACCTAAGTCCCCAGATCTGACACCCCTTGATGTTTTTATGGAGACATTTAAAAACTCGTGCTTACATGAACAGACTCGATAATTTAGACGAGTTGAAAGCACGAATTCATCATGAAGTGTCCCCAGAGTATTGAAAATTCCGTCAATCAGGTCTGGATTTGTGTGTCTATTTGTATATCTATAGCATAAATTTTTACTCCAACGTATTATTCTGTTTATTTAACACGTATCATTAAAATCCAGTTTATTTTGTTTGTTATTAGTTTTCTCAATTTTTTTTTTTTGTTATGCAACCCCTACATCAAACTACATTTTCATATGCAGCAAAATAAGCTTTATCAAATAATGCAATCAATTTCTATCTAAAAAAAATATTGATGACGTCATAACTTTTACAAATTTTACGTCATAAGATGGACAGTACAATAAAAATCGTGACATGCTTTTGCATTTTTTTCAAAAACAAATGCTGCGCTTTTCATGAATTTTGTGCATTACTTTATCATAACCCCATATAACGTGCCTTAAACTCTCTTTCTCTTGTAATTTATAATAATTTATCTCAAAATTTAAGCCCAAATCCAGCATTATTTACTCATAGCATGATTGTGGACGAAAAGGCTAAAGCTATATACATCCGAATAATATTTTATTATTTTATTTAATAGACCGAAACATCGCTTTGATAAAACATGGAGTAACAAATAGTATATTATTAGCCAAGGTTGCAAGGCCAAGCATTCTAGACCGAGCGCAAATTAGAACCCGAGACGCGCAGCGTCGAGGGCTCTGAAGCGCGAGGTCTAGAAGTGGCTTTGCAACCGTGGTTAATATACTATTTTTTTCACTAGTAGAAACCATAAGACAATAAATTGAAAAAATAAACGTTCAATTTTTTGACGCAACATGATTTTGTTTTGATTTCTAATCAAACTTAATCTAAATCTTCAACACAAAGAAAACCGTTTATACTTGTCGCTGAGTTAATCATTTTATCTTCTACCGTCTACCAACTACCATGCGTATACTCAAGTAATGTTTGTAGCACACATTTGTTCATTTTTTAAGAAATAATCACATCAAACATTGCGTACATAACCTCAATTTACTTTTTGAACCCGTGGTAGCAAAAGTTGAATTTGCTACCACTAAATGAGTCGACATTTGCATGGGTCCTGGCTGCTAGTGAAAAAAAGTATGAAAAGTAAGCAACTAGATAAAAGTTTGGTAGAAATTCATCACCTACAGTATTTCGTATATGACCTCAAAATTTTCAAAAACTTGCTTCTTTTCCAAAACAGTGCTTTACAAACTTATTTACTTTCTTCGGTCGCTTTTTATTCGCCGACTTACTGGTGTTTGTGCATTTTGAAGTTTTTTCTAACCTTTATCCATATTTAGATAAAAAACTAATACAATTATCTTTCATCTATATTTAGATAAATTTCTTAATTTTTATGTCGTGGTGACCGAATTTGAATCAAATTTTCGCGCTGAAATTAATTAACCGCGGCGCGAAGTCACATTTAAAGAACTTGAATTTGAGAAAAGAATTCAAACAAATAATCGGAATAAATTTTAATTTTCGACCAACGCGGACGCGTGCTGTAAATTTGTTTTATTGTTTGTTAATTTACCGATCAGGTTAGGATTTTAATCGTTAACTGGTTCCAACACAATTTGTAACAAGTGCATCGCACGTGCTCCCCAGATGTCACCCGTTCTCGCGAGCTGATTTGTCTCGGCTGTCCATCATGGGTCGAATTCTTCACGACCCTTCAAAAATCACATCTTCCGAACCTTCCCAGAAAATCCCAACAAACAGATCCATATATTTCCTTTTGTCCCATGTTGCTATATCCCGTCCTCTCCCCATGTGGTACTGGACCCTCGGATTAAGTTTATGGTACCACATGTTCCAATCTCTTCCGAAGGAGTCGTTACAAAGTAAATTGCGTTTCAAGCATGCCTAGCTTTTTTTCTTGAATTTCAACAAAACGGTACAGTTTTATAACGACCATGATGGATGGGTCCAGAGGCAGAGAAGGGTTTTGTTCGAGAAATCCCGTTATTAAAATAAAATGATGCGATTTCCTCGTTTTGTAAATATGTACAGATCTTTTGATAAAAGAAAAGGTTGGAAATTCGGATGGATGACAGGCATAGATCTCGCCTACCACAGGTGAAATGGCTATTCTAGTTAAGTCACGAGCCAATGGCCACCCCAAAAAGCTGTTCGATAGATTAGATTTATAATAATGTCAATGATATGGTTAGGAAATTT